CTCTATCTAATCAGCATGGATGTAGTCCAGGTACAAAGACAATCAATGATTAATTTTATTCCTAATTTTCAAATCATTAAAAAAATTATTAGCTAAAACTAACTTTAAAAACATATCTCTATCTATACGTCTGGTGGTGTAGTGCCTAATGCATTTGACTGCTAACCAGAAGGTTGGTGGTTCAAACCCACCAGCCATTCCTCAGAAAAAATATTGAACACTCTACTTCTGTAGTGATCCTGCATCAGAAACCCAAGGAGTCACTATGAGTCAGAGCCAACTCAACAGCAGTCAACTTGGTTTGTTTTTTTTTTTAAAAACACACACACACACACACACACATATACATATAGGTATACACATATACATACACATTGTTGTTGTTATTGGGTACCATTGAGTCAGCTCTGACTCATAGTGACCCTATGGACAACAGAACGAAACACTGGCTGGTCCTGTGACACCATCACAATCCTTGCTATACCTGAGCCCATTGTTGCAACCACTCTGTCAGTCCATCTTATTGAGGACCTTCCTCTTTTTCACTGACACTTCACTTTGCCAAGCATGATATCCTTCTCCAGGGAATGGTCTCTTCTGACAACATGACCAAAGTAGGTGAGACGAAGTCTGGCCATTCTCATTTCCAACAAGCATTCTGTCTGCACTTCATCCAGGACAGATTTGTTTAGTTCTTCTCTCAGTCCATGGTACTTTAAGTATTCTTTGCCAATAGCACAAATCAAAAGTATCAACTCTATTTCGGTCTTTCTTATTCATTCTCCAGCTTTCACGTGCATATGTGGTGATTGAAAACACCATGGCTTAGATTAGGCACACCTTAGTCTTCAAAGAGACATCTTTGCTCTTCAGCACTTGAAATAGGTCTTTTGCAGCAGATTTGTCCAGTGCAACATGTCGTCTGATGTTCTGACTGCTACTTCCATTGGTGTTAATTGTGGAACCAAGTAACATGAAATCTTTGACAACTTCAATCTTTTCTCCATTTATTGTGATGCTGGTTATTGGTCAAGTTGTGAGGATTTTTGTTTCCTTTATTGTGATTCTGGTTATTGGTCAAGTTGTGAGGATTTTTGTTTTCTTTATGTTGAAGTGTAATCCATACTGCAGAGTGTAGAGTTTAATATTCATCAATAAGTCCTTCAAGTCATCTTCACTTTCAGCAAGCCAGGTATGTTGTCTGCATATCGCAGGTTGTTAATGAATCTTCCTCCACTCCTGATGTCACATTCTTCTTCATAATGTCCAGCTTCTCAGATTATTTGCTCAGCATACAGACTGAATAAGTATGGTGAAAGGATACAACCCTAACGCACACCATTCGTGATTTTAAACCATGCAGGATGCCCTTGTTCTGTTTGAGCAACAGCTTCCTGGTCTCTTTACAGGTTCCTCATGAGCACAATTAAGTGTTCTGGAATTCTCATTCTTCTCAATGTTATCCATAATTTGTTATGATTAACACCATCGAATGCTTTTGCATAGTCAATAAAACACAAGTAAGCATCTTTCTGGTATTCTTTGCTTTCAGCCAATATCCATCTGACATCAGCAGTGATATCCCTCATTCTACATCCTCTTCTGAATCCAGCTTGCATTTTTGGAAGTTCCAGTTTTATCATTATCTTCAGCAAGATTTTACTTGTGTGTGATATAATGATATTTTCCAATAATTTCCATATTCTGTGAGATCAACTCTCTTTGGATTGGGTACAAATATGGATCTCTTGCAGTTAGCTGGCCAGGTAGCTGTCTTCCAGATTTCTTGGCATAGATGAGTAAGTGCATCCTGTGCACCACCTGTTTGTTGAAACACCTCTCTCTCTTTCTCTCTATGGAGCTCTGGTGGCATAGTGGGTAAAGCAGTTGGCTGATAACCAGAAGATCAGTGGTTCAAACCCACCAGCTGCTCCACAGAAGACAGATCAGGTGATTACTTCTGTAAAGATGTACCATCTTGTGGGGCTAGCTGTGAGTTGGAATCGACCCGATGGCAGTGGGTTTATATATGTATGTATGTACATATGTGTTGTTGTTGTTGTTATGTGCCATCAAGTCGGACCCGACTCATAGCGACCCCTTCTTGGGTTTCCGAGGCAGTATCACTACGGAAGTAGATTGTCCTATCTTCCTTCTGAGGAGTAGCTGGTGGGTTTGAACCGCCAGCCTTCTGATTAGCAGTCAAGTGCCTTAGGCACTACGCTACCAGAGCTCCCATGCAGAAATGTATATATGTTAAAATGAAAAGCTGAAAGATTAAGTGATTTTCCTCAGGACGGTGATCTCATCCACTGGGTGAGATCTTTAGAAGTGCAATTACCCAAGGTCATGTTTCTATTATATTTACTACCAGCTTTATTCAGGGTGACAACTAACTACAAACTTCACAATGATGCCCAGTGAGCAGATTAGTGGGGTTGACAATCCACCTGGGCCAAGCCCATATCCACCAGGAGGGGCACATTTTTGTAGTTTGCCCAAGAGTGCCATATAAGCTGGCAGCTAGACTCTGTTACTAGTACTGGAGGATGGAGCAGAGAACACGTGTACCCTGTTGTACTAAACATTAATACCATGCAGTCATTTCTGGCTCAGTGTGTAGCTTCCCATTCTGCTTACAGGGATGGGAATGCAGGGTTAGTCTTGACCCTTGATTTCTATTCCTTTCAGGCTCAGCTTCCTTCTCTGTGGCATTGGACAACACACTCATGCTTTAGTTTTCTCATCTGTAAAATATGGGGATTGCATACTCTTTCTGTTTTCTCTGTGTTATTGTTCTCCCTCAAGTCAGCTCTGACTCATGGGGACCTTATGAAAATCTGGTCCTGCCCATCCTCATGATCTATGATATTTTTGAGCCCATAGTGGCTGTGGTGTCAGTCCACCATATCCAAAGTTTCTCTCATTTTCATTGCCCTTCTACTTTATCAGCAGCCATAGTGTCCTTTGGTATTCTTTGCTTTCCATCTGACAATTGGATATTCTTTGCCAATATCCATCTGACATCAGCAGTGATATCCCTCATTCTACATCCTCTTCTGAATCCAGCTTGCATTTTTGGAAGTTCCAGTTTTATCATTATCTTCAGCAAGATTTTACTTGTGTGTGATATAATGATATTTTCCAATAATTTCCATATTCTGTGAGATCAACTCTCTTTGGATTGGGTACAAATATGGATCTCTTGCAGTTAGCTGGCAATATATCTTTCTTGATAATGTGCTCGAAGTAAGTGAACTGAAGTCTCACCATTCTCACTTCAAAGGAGCATTCAGGCTATGATGTTCCTTTGTTGTTGTTGTTGTTATGTGCCATCAAGTCGAACCTGACTCATAGCAACCCCTCCTTGGGTTTCTGAGACAGTATCTCTGCCCACCAGCCACTCCTTGGAAGGAAGGTTGGGCAATCCTACTTCCATAGTGATACTGCCTCGGAAACCCAAGGAGGGGTCGCTATGAGTCGGGGCAGACTCGACGGCAAACAACAACAACAACAACAATCTCTGCGGAAGTAGATTGCCCAGCCTTCCTTCTGAGGAGTGGCTGGTGGGTTTGAACCGCCAGCCTTCTGGTTAGCAGTCGAGTGCCTTAGGTACTATGCTACCAGAGATGTTCCTTTAGTTCCTATATTTTGATTCTGCTCCCAAGATATTTTCATGTGAAAAGTAAAATGAAAGTTTTAGGTATGTTCAAAGGTGTTCTCTGTTTTCCTTCTTTTGTCCACTGTCTCTTTCCTTCTTTCTGCCTTTCCTCCTCACCTCAATACTAACCCACAAACGCACCAAGTTCTTCCATATTCAACATTTATTCTGTCTATGTTCTTGCCAGGCAGACTGTTCATCATGCTGGGTGGTGGCAGTGGAGAGGACAATCCATCCTCTAAAAGGAGTGCCATTGGGATGCATCCTGGGTTTTTGAGCAGTTGCGTTAATGTCATCATGGCACTTAGACAGAAGGGGCAATGTGGTAGAGCCCAGCACAGAGGGAAAAAAATGACCAAAGGTTTATCTTCCCCATGCATATTATCTGCCTACTTTGAGCAGCTGGGCAAGTTGTCTACCCATATTCTTTCAGTTTTGCAAAGGCCCATAGAAATCCACGAGATGCTTGCAATACTTAAGATTATTTTTTGCTAATCAGATGGTGCCATCCGTCTTAAGCATATATGTAATATCAGATCCGCAATTACTGAGTCAGCCGGGCACTAGGCAAAATGTGTTTCTGCTAATTAAACTTGTTGCATTTGAATGGCTTTCTTTGGTGGTACTGTATGCACTGAAACTGTTGTGAACAATAAAAGAAACCATTTTCCCCCTTCTACCGAAGGCCTAAAACTGCAGATGGCCACTCTGTGTGTGAAGCACTAGCCACTGAATGAGTCTTTTGTGTGTACCAAAGAAGGTAATTTGAATGTTTGAACCCCCCACAGAAAGCTTGTCTCAAAATGAACAATTCGCCAAATAAAGACTAATTAGGGCCTAAATTAATTAGAAGGTGTGGTTTGAAAGGATGTTGATGAGAAGAGTCTGTCATTTTAGACAAATGGAATAGAGCTAAATAAATTAGTCCCCATTAATATCTCATTGTTCTGTGAGCAGCTCTCTTTTATTGCATTCATTAGAAAGCGCCCCTTGAAATAAGTCTTTGCCGGCCATTACGGATTCAGCCCTCATTTCCCGACGCCTAGCACACAGTGCCTGCATTAAAGATATTTCAACAAATCCTCATGGCTTCAGCAAATTAATATTTATATTTTCTGGGTGTTCTGTTTTTCATCTGGAAAACAGGCCCTGAATGTTATTGACTTTTTTTGTCACTGAATTGTCAGAAGCAAGCTTCACATCAAAAAAGCATGAATGCCAAGGGAAGGAAATTACAAAAAGCCAAAAGATGGGGCCTGTGGGGGGTAGGGAAGGCAGGGATAGGAAAAGTAGAATAAAACCCTTCCCACTATCCTGGATTAATCAATTCTTTTCTTTCCTCCTTCAAATTTGTGTTTTCCATGATGCACTGTTTTTCTTGTTTTGATTTAAATAACCAATATCTGGTGCTCCTGAGTTCTTATAGCTCTGTGATGACTTTTTAAAGCTATGTTCCAAAACCTTATATATATTGTAAGTGTATATATATATGTAGTAAGTGTATGTATAATATGTTCCTCCTCTCACTTTCTCTTTCTTCTCTCCTTCCCCTTTTCTTACAGATAGAGTGTTTGGAAGATGCCAGAGGATCCCGGTGATAGACATATACCAATATGAAGTTTCGCCGGTTGTTCTGCAGCATCTGAGAGCCACCTTGCAGAAGCTGTCCCTCACAGGTACATTGGAGTTAGGCAGGAGAACTGTGTCACAGTGATGGGCTGGCAGCACCCCTAGGTGCTATCTCTTGGTCCTTGGTTGCTCTGACTAAATTGCAAATGCTTTTGTTTCTTCTTAAACATATACAGGGCCTCCCAGGGAATGAGGCTTTGGAAATGGCCTGTGCTCTGAATTCTCTGGGCTAAATTAGGTAGCATCACAGTGGAAGGACGTGCTTTGGGAACAGGGGGTTTTGTTATGAAAGATATCTACTCCATGTGCTCATTGTCATGGGTAGAAGTCTTAGTTGGCTATTACATGCTCAGCAATTCATTCAGTGGTTATATAGTGATTACAGGAGCTCTGGTAGGGTAGTGCGTAAGGCACTTGATTGCTAACCAGACGGCTGGTGGTTCAAACCCACCAGCCACTCCTTGGAAGGAAGGTTGGGCAATCTACTTCTGTAGTGATACTGCCTTGGAAACCAAAGGAGGGGTCTCTATAATCAGGTCTGATTTGATGGCACATAACAACAACAGCAACATAGTGATTACAATAAGCAGAGTTGCCAGGTCCTGATACAAGGTAGTCTGATGGACAGGGACATGTAGGCCTAACCTAATCCAACACAACCACTCATCAACCAAGGGCTTTGAGAACGATCAGTCTCTACTCCATGTTGTTATACAACTTTTTATTGTATCATCCTGTTACTTCATGGGATGCTAAGAAGATAATTTTTACAAACAATAAAAATTGAAGGGGAAAGCTGTGCCATCTAGCTCAGCATTATTATTAATAGAGTTCTGGTGGCATGGTGCCGAAGGCATTTGACTGCTAACCAGAACGCTGGTGGTTTAAACCCACCAACCTTGTCAGAAAGAAGATTGGGCAATCTGCTTCTGTAGAGATACTGCCTCAGAAACCCAAAGAGGAGTCGCTATGAGTCAAATCAACTCTACAGCAGTGAGTTTGGGCTTTTTCAATTATTGTTACTTAAATGAAGTTTTGCCTCTTCATAGTCTCAGATCCTTGACAATAGACCAATTTGTAAATATGATGGAGTGGTTACAATGAAAGGAGCTCTGGTGGTGTAGTGGGTAAGGCATTTGGCTGCTAACCAGAAGACAGTTCAAACCCATGAGCTGCTCTGTGGGAGGAAGATGAAGTGATCTTTGGTAAAGATTTACAGATTTGGAAACCCAGTGGGGGTTGCTATGAATAAAATCAATGGCAGTGTTTTTTATTTTTTCCAAAGTCTGGCCATTCTCTATTCTAAGGAGCATTCTAGCTGTATTTCCTCCAAGAAAGATTTGTTTGTTCATTCTTTGAGGAGTCTGTGGTGCATTTAGCATTCTTTGCCAACGCCACAACTCAAATGCATCAGTTTTTCTGCAGTCTTTCTTATTCCCTGTCCAGATTTCACATGCATATGAGGTGATTGAAAATACCACGGCTTGGGTCAGGTGAACCTTAGTCTTCAAAGTGACATTGTTGGTCTTTTACCCTTTAAAGAGGTCTTTTGCAGCAGATTTGCCCAATTCAATTTGTCATTTGCTTTCCTGACTGCTGCTTACATGGTCATTGATTAGGATCCAAGTAAAATGAAATCCTTGATAACATAAATCTTTTCTCCATTAATCATGATGTTGCTTATTGGTCCAGTTGTGAGGATTTTTGTTTGCTTTATATTGAGGTGTAAACCATACTGGAGGCTATAGTCTCTGATCCTCAGCAGTAAGTGCTTCAAGACATCTTCACTTTCAATAAGCAAGGTTGTGTCATCTGCGTATCACAGGCTGTTAACAAATCTTCCTCCAATCCTGATGCCACATTCTTCTCCATATAGTGCAGATTTTTGGATTATTTTCTCAGCATACAGATTGAATAAGCATGGTAAAAGGCTACAATACTGACATCTACTTTTCTGGATTTCGAAACATGCAGTATCCCCTTGTTTGTTCAAACAACTGCCTCTTGGTCTATATACAGGTTCCACATAAACCCAATTAAGTGTTCTGGAATTCCTATTCTTTATAATGTTATCCATAATTTGTTATGAGCCACCCAGTCAAATTCATTTTCATAGTCAATAAAACACAGATAAACATCTTTCTGGTGTTCTCTGTTTTCAATCAAAATCCATTTAACATCAGCAATGATATTCCTCATTCCACAGTCTCTTCTGAATCTGGCTTGAATTTCTGGTAGTTCCCTGTGTATGTAGTGCTGCAACCATTTTTCAAATATTTTCAGCAGAGTTTTACTTTCATGTGATAATAATATTGTTCAGTAATTTCCACATTTCTGTTGGATCACCTTTATTTAGGATGAGCACAAATATTGGTCCCTTCCAAATAATTGGCCAGGCACCTGTCTTCCTTATTTCTTGGTATAGATGAGCAAGTGCTTCCAGTGTTGCGTTCCATTTGTTGAAACATCTCAATGGGTATTCTGTCAATTCCTGGAGACTTATTTTTTACCAGTGCTTTCAGTGCAGCTTGGACTTCTTACTTTATTACCATTGTTTCTCATTCACTTGCTACCTCCTGAAATGGTTGAACGTCAATCAATTCTTTTAGCTACAGTGACTCTGTGTGTTTCTCCCATCTTCTTTTGATCATTCCTACATCATTTAATGAGGAGAGACAATGCAGGGATGCCAGAGTAGCAGACCGGAAGAGCAGGGAAGGGGATAAAAGCCTTGAGCCCCAGGCTTACAGGTGAGGAGAGACAACGCAGGGACGCCAGAGTAGCAGGCTGGAAGAGCAGGGAAGGGGATAAAAGCCTTGAGCCCCAGACTTACAGGTAAGGAGAGACAATGCGGGGACGCCAGAGTAGCAAGCTGGAAGAGC